GCACCCACCATATCACGTAGTGAGCAACTGCTCGTTCCCATCATTTTGCAGAACAGCTTCTGAGATTTGGGCAGAGTGACCCAGATGAACACTCTGCAATTCTCTGGAGGTGGGAGAACTTCAGTGAACATGCAAGCAAGAATGCAAGTGAAATTGTAACTACTCATTTCAGAGGATAAGCAGGAGGTGGAGCTCTACGTGCCTTGTCTTCCTAAATAAATTGTTTGCTTCTTAGTTTGAGGCTTACATTAGTAGCTGACAAAATGAAGAGGAGTTTCCAAGCAAGCATAGCATAGGAGCTTTGCAGCCTTCATAGGCCCACTGGGGCTGTTTCTAGGAAGAAAGAAGCAAGACTGGACAGACACAGAAGGCTTGCTGATTTCCATAAGGACACAGGAGGCATGGAGCTTGTTCAGAAGAATGACTATCAAGACATTTCCAGCTGGATTCCAGTACCTGTTTCCAGAGAGGTCTATCATAGCATCTTAATTTGAATGAACAGGAAGCCATTTGAAAAGGTAATTTGATTTGATTGAACAAAAGTAGCTGCAGACCAGTAAGACTGCAATTAGAGGAATGTGTGGAAGAAAGCAGATGGGAAGAAAAGGGTCAGGGACAGCTGGTAAACAGCTGTCCTGGATTGCTGCATAATTTACCAATGATGGGACAAGAGAAGGGCTCTCTGGCTGAGGCCTGGGGGAGACTCTCTGTAACACCAGGGGAAGATTATGGAGCTTTCCTTCTCTTTTGTGCCACAAAAAACACCAAGTAGTCACCTGGCCTATGTACTCAGTAATATCTATGTGGATAAGGAAGAGGTTTGATCATCATAATTTACTGCATGAAAGAAAACAACAACAGAATCAGTGATTCTGATTAATTTTAGCAGATTTGATCTTTTGTCTGTAACAACTCCTTTCTCTGATGCCAAACTAAACATCAGCCTGTGCAGAACTGCCCTTTTTTTATGCTTCGCTTTCAAGCACCATACCTGCACTTCTGCAACTTGGTAACTCTTGCCCTATACATTGTTATACTGTAACCAGTGGGAGAGAGCACAAGGTGAGTGGGAACCAAGCTTGCAAATGAAAAGAGCCACAATACCTTTGCTTTCATCTGCCGAAACTATTTACATTGATGGCAAGCAGACGGTAAACAGATGGCAAGTATTCTTCTTATGGGACCTCCAGCCAAGGATGCAGACCATGCTACATGAAAAGCAGAAGGGGCTGGAGAGTCAGAGCCTCCACATCCCAAGGTACTTACACAGACATGCCTTGAGGCAAACCAGCTAAACCAGCTCTCTAGGATCAAGCCCCACTCCCCTTCACCTTTTATTTCTGCAAGGAGATAAACCGGTCACAAGTCTTTGTGGTAGCTTTTCAAAAGCAGAATCTTCCTGGCTCAAGCATTACAGAACCCTTTATTTTGCTGCCCACTAATGGACTTTATTAATGTGATAGTTACTAACAACATGAGCAGCCGCATGAACCAAAAAGGAAAGCCAAAAGTTTACACCTGGCAAAAGGTCTGGGCTGCTGACTAGAGTCCCATCCTCCCATGCCAGCTCATGGGTGTGTGCAAGGAATTTCTGATGCATGCTCTTGTGAACAGCTAATGTGCAGTCTAGCAGTTTCCAGTAAATGGCTCTGAAGACTGCAGAGCCGTTGCCATACACAAGTCTATTGTTCATATGCAGGATCCGCCTACCTACCCTTTCATTAGAAAAGCACAGATCTCAACAGTGGCATGTTTATCTTAGCAGGGTGTTAAACCTCACCAAGACAGCCGCTGGTTTAGGATTAGAAACAAGTTTATCCCAGCTATTCTGAAACATCCAAAACGCAGGATTATGCACATGCATGTCAACAGCGCTTGGGAAACAGATTAAGAAAGTGAAATGAACCAAAATGAGAACACCTTCATATATGAGAATGAGAGCAGGACAATTGCAGTGGAGAAATGGGGTTGCTGTGCAGGGCAGGAGCTCAGCTTCAGAATGCTAGAGTCTCTCCCTGGGCTAGAATCAGGGTCTATGAACACCTTCATAGACAATGCTTCATGCGTTGAAAACCCCAGCCAAGAGAGATGAAAATCCCAGGAGGCTAGTAACATCTGTAAGTCAAACAACGTTAAAGAAACTGTTTCTCCAATCTTATAAAAATATATGGGTGATCCTAAGCTGGCATCATCTCATCCTAACCCAGACTGACTCCTATCTTTACTACAGAGACAATACTGGTTATTTTGGTAGCTGGATTCAACAGAACAGACAAGTGTCCTATGAGAAAAGCATCCAACAAAGTCCTCCAGATAGAAATGCTGCAACTGCATTCAAGTCTGTGGCCTGCACTGTCTGCAGTTTTTTCATTTGCCCCCCCCCTCCCCTCCCCTTCTATCATAAACTGACTCGCAGTGCATGAGATAAGGCATGTCTCCTCCTCTTCTTCAAGAGATAGGTAGTAGAGCTGGAAAAGGTTCTAGTGAGATATTAAGAACAGCACTGAGGGAGACGGACCTGAAAGCCCACAGATCCAAAATTAGTGAGATAGGACACAACCAACAGTTTTCAGCTGACTTTCCGGAGATGCAGAAGCAGCAGAAAGGAGGTGAGGTAGGGAGGGAAAAGCAGAGATTAAAGCCAGAGATCAGCAAAGCAGTAAAGGAAGACAGGATACATCAAGGACAGAAGGGAAGACCAAGATAGTCAATTCGGTGCCTCCAGAGAAAGACGAAGGATGTCATCAGATAGGATGCAGACAGAAGAAGCATCCTAATGCCTATGCAGCCACATATATAGGAGGGTCTTCATACAGATAAAGGGACAGTGCATTGCATGAGGGAAAAGGAGCAGTATCTGAAAGGAAGGAAGGAAAATGCAGTCAATTTGGACATGTAAGCTGGAGGAGGAGGGGATGACTGGACATTTAGAGGAGTGCAGGAGCAACTCACATGCTAAGACTTTTGGCACCACAAAAATCATTATTTTTTTTCTCATTCTGTGGGCAAAATTAATTCACTGACTGTCAACCCTCTTCAGAACAACCTCCAGTTTTTGCTTCTTAATTTGCCCAGCTGAGTTTTACAATTTTCACCCCTGAGCTCATATTCTCCCAGCATTTAACATTTTTTTTTTCCAAGGCCACCAACCATGGGTTATTATACCTCAGGTCTTTCATCTCCCAGCCAGCACTTACCCTCATGGTATTGTCACAGCCTCACAAATATCAAGAGCAAACCTAACCTTTGTCAAAGCAAACAGCTAAAATCAAGGTCCCTTGTCAGGAGTGGCTTGGCTTCACAAATCATGAACCTCAGCTCCAAAATCAGCAGGACACCAAAGCAGGTGAAGGAGGAGGGGAAGAATGGAGATACACAGCCAAACTTCCACAGCAAGAAAGGAAATGCTGTGCCGGCAGCCTGGACCAAGCAGCCCTGAATTTTAATTAGCCCCTTTTCTTCTGAATGGAGAACTCAGACCTTGTCCTGGTGGGAGGGAACACAGCAGACATTTCAGGAGAGGCTCTTTCCCTGGGAGAGCAGAACTTTGGAAAGAAAAGGCTGTTGCAGAGTTAGACTAATTAGCCATGCTCTCTTACACCTGCTGCACACTGTGAATGATTTTTCCTATTTGAATCATTCAACTTCGTGCTATGCTTCAACATTACGGTTTACAGGTACCTTACTCTTCGGAGGAGTAATTTCTGTCCTCAGGACACTTGCACTGCTGCAGCCTGTGAAGAGCTTCTTCTGTTTGATGTGTTCATAAGGTGAGTGCTTGGGATGATGGTAGCTTAGTCAAAGGAGGGTCCTGACTGCCCTTTCAAGTCTGTTGAGTAAGAAAGCTCACAGCTCTTGTGTCTCACAGACTGGATTAAATAACAGCAGCATGGGATTAACCAGCTGGGAGTGTTAACCAGGTAGTTTTCTGTAACTTGCCCAGTAGGTCCCATGCAATTTGCTGGCTTTGTCACCTTTAAGAGCTCCAGCACAAGCCAATATACCAAGGGCTTTTCAGTAATGCTACAGCTCAGGACAATAGGCTCTGTCCTGGTGCTTCCCTCTAGGACACCTGCAATGCCTTCACCATGGAAAAGGGGCAGAAACTGGATTCATTTCTCCGGGTGGGAATATGCAGACTGCCTCCTCTCTCATCACCCTTGTTTTTGGAGGTATCCAAGGGCAAGCACTTGTCCTCTGCAGCTCATGCTCCCTGTAAGCTCCTTGGAGACCAGCGTCACTTATAGCAGCTGCAAGCTGCTCTTGCAACACTTGCCCATGCTGTGTGGGTGGCCAAGCCATCGTCCAAGCAGCATTAAAAAAGACTTATCCTTTCTACAGGTAGACTCAAGGGACAAGCAGCTAATCAATTAACAGCCTCCCAAGACAAAGAATACCACAGTGAGTATTCTGGGCTTTGGGTTGCTGTCATCAAAACAATTGCTTAAGCAATATATCTAACCAGCAAAGACTAAATAGGGAAATGATAGATAATTATGAAATTAAAAAACATAAGAGATTAGCCTCCAACGCTACATCTTTTAAACAAAGCATGCCCTCATTTACATTCAAAAAATGAAGTCAGGAGAATAAACACGATAGTTGAAGGATGGAGTCCTGAATTTAACTACCCTGCTCTATTTCCTACGTTTATGATCACAGTCCATGAGAATTTCAGTTTGGTGACTGCAGCCTCCAGTGCAAAAACTAAGCCTGAAGTATAGTGCGCACTCCTGAGGCTCACTTAATCTCTGTTAGATGAACTGAAAGAATGAAAGAGGTGTCAAAGGTGATGCACAGCAGGCCTGCTGGAGACACTGCTGCCTGGCACCAAAGGAAGAGCTCCTCAGCCTTATCAGATTCCTCAGTAGAAACTTTGTGCATTCCTAGGGAGAGGCTCAGCAGCAGGCTGGATAACCCAAAGCTCCAGGCAGGAATGGTGGAACAGGCGTAACTGTCTTTGATCACTGAGAGGAGAAAAGAAAACCCCTCAAACTCACCATCCCCCATATGCTCTCCAACAAGGTGCTGCTAAGAGGACGTGACAGAACTCAGAGTTCAGAATTCCTCCAGAACAGAAGTGCTGATCAGATATCCTATTAAATACTGCATTTTAAAAGTAGTGTCAAGTTAATGTTTGTTTTTCTACCTTTTTTTCTTTCTTTTCTTTTTTTTTTTTTAAAGCTGAGTTGTCATTATTGCTAGTGCCAAAATAGAGCACTGAAAATAAAGGCTTTTAGAACTGCGTGTGCTTTGTGCTATCCTTGGTTCCTGCATCTGCAAGAACAGGCCAAAACTATACTTCAGCTTAGGAAAAGTATTCTTCTTCTATTTTCTCATTTTCTCATTTACTTATTCAGCATTTTTCAACCTGTGACTTCAGTCCCCTAGAATTTTGCAGACTAAGTCTAAGGGGTCAAAAAAAGGAACAACATTTGTCACGAAGTACAAATATAAAATGCAAAGCTCTGGATTGGTAGATAGTTAAGGGTCTATAAATCTAAAAAATGTGAAATCAGGAGGCCAAAGCAGCACCAGTTTGGTTCATAAGCCTTGTAGAGGATTACAAACACTGCAAAACAGGAGTCGTATTTTCCATGCTGAGCACAGTAGTCCAAAATAAAAAGCCAGTATTTCACTATCTAGACTTGAAATGTGGAAGTACCATTGACAAAAGAGAATTAAAAGATTATGTTTCCTGCATTAATTCATTCCAGGAGATTATAAGACAAAAGAAGAAAATGAAAAAGCATATACTGGAATTTTCTCCAAAGGAGAAACAAGCTGTGACCTCTTTAACGTATTAAATGAATTAATGATCTACAACTTTCACCCCTCACCCTCTTGCTTCCCTGTAGGAAGCAAAATTGTGCCATCTAGTGGGATTTATACTAAGCCTTAACCGTGCATTCTTGCCAAACCCCATGGACATCCTACAGATCGCCATCATTTGAACAGGCTCATTGTACAGCATGGGTCTTGGATCCCATTTTGCTCCCAAGTTAAAATCCATTCCCTACCAAAGCTGCAGGAAGATCATTTGAAGGGGATTTGTACACCCTGCCTGGCTTAAGAGCAGGAAAACCTGGTGCTTGGAAGTGAAATATCCAGAAAGTGTCACACAGGGTGGTCAGTGTGTCACCGACAAACAGAAAACAGAGAGAATAGGATAAAACAGGGGGGGGGGAACTTTTCATCCCTTAGGAAGATTAAATACATCCCACAAAGTCTGCTATTTTTCAGGGGCCAGAGAAAGGGAAAGGAAGTTGCTCTTTCATTTATTAGCTAGATTCCTTCTTGACTTCTGATTTGATAGAGAAAAATGATTTCCATGAGGGTGACTTGGTAAATTTGGAAAGTCAAAGCCACAGGGTTCCCCCTGTGGATGAAGAAGCTCCCATTTGCCTGGCAGCCAGCAACCCTGTTTTGACATGCTGCATGCATATAGAGAGCTGCTGTATGCAGATGAGACTTGATTAAAAACAATCCCATTTCCTTGAAATCTTTTGTGACCTTAGTTAAGCAACAGGCCTAATATAGATTTCAATATGATCTTTTAATCTTTGCCCTTTATGGATTAGTGTTATCTTCATGCTAGACAGGCATTTCAGTGCAGTTTCTTCTTCTATACCAGTGATAAGGGAAATCCCTATCACCTAAGACTGCAATACTAAACTCAAAGTACTGCAAAATGACTTATATGCCCAAGTATCAAGGCAGATCTAATAAAACTTGATATATTTCCCTTGGGAGCATGCTTTATTGCCTCAGTCAAAACAGGTGAATGAGTAACAACTCCATTAGGAGTTTAAGTATCAGAAAAAAGTAAAGTTCATTGGACAATCCTCAAATAATTAACAACTCTTTCCTCTACAAACACAGTGAGAACTGTTTCCCATCGAAACATAAGCTGTTTTTCTCCCACTCAAAGCATCCCCTGGAATAGTTGGATCAATTCTGTGCACTGGGAGACCTTTGTCTTATTTGAATCAACATGGAAAGGAATCTTAAGAACGTTCTGGTCATTTCTTTTGGATTTTTACTTCTCTTCACTGCTTATGGAGGGCTCCAGAGTCTACAGGTAAGTGGAGCATCTTCAAATAGCTGGCAGACAGTTGGGCCAGAAATGCATCTGCCCAAGTGGTAGTGTGAAACCCCTCAGTCTTTCCACAGTCTTTATATATATATAAATATATACATATAATAAATATATATAAATGCCTCCCTCGCAGATTTACAATATATTTTTATCACATAAGTATAGATATATTCATTACATAGGTTAAGACATCAACATAGCATGGGTTGCTGTCCTTCACCCAGGTCCATAGCATCTACTAAATAGAATTTTCTAGTACTTCTTCATCCGTTGGAATACTTGCATCAGTGTACTGTTTTAGATCCACAAAAGCTGTTTGAATGGAAAGTAAGATTCTCTGAGATATTTCTCAAACAACTATACTGTAAAATTGCAAACAAATTTCTTTTCTGGGGAAGTTTTGGTTTTGGAATACTTTTTAATTGCTGTATTTTCAATATTATTAAAACACAGCAATATTAAATAATAAAAATATATTCCTAACTCATTAAATAATGTAAGCATGAAGCAATACTATAACTCTTGACTTCATGATATAACATAGTAATTTTAAAAAAACTATTTCATACAAAAAGCAGGCCACAGCATTAGCCACAGCTAATATTGAAATTAACATCCAGAAACACAGAAATGAGATAGATTTTAAGAGAGATTTGAACACAACATACCATACACCAGAGCTGGCTTTCTTAGTATAGCTAAAAAAGAGTGAGGGGAAACTGTTGCTTTCTACAAATACTTCAGGACAGATAAACTCAAGGAGAAGGGTTTCAGGCTAGAATGTTGGTCTAATGACAAACACGTGTATCTCAGCTATCTATAAGCAGGGTTGGGTAGGATACCAGAAGATGCCCCTGAGCAAGTGGGTTCTGGAAGGATTTTCCAACCAGGGCAGGAATAAGAATGCTTTGAAGATGAAATTAAACATTATTAGTAAGGCTTTTTTTTTATTATTATTATTTAATGTAGTATGATAATTATCTGCAGTAACAAGAGAGGGCTAAACTCATGTCAGAGAATCATAGAATTGCTCAGGCTGGAAAAGACCTTAAAGATCATCAAGTCCAACCACAACCTAAACAAACTTACCCTAATTCTAACAACCCTCTGCTAAATCATGTCCTGAGCACTGCATTGAAGATCCCTCCTATCTCCATACATCACCTCTTCTCTCTCAGATCAGTTTCTTTTTGCTAACACTGTCAAATTCCAAGCTCAGGAAAGTTCTACAAATGGATGGAGGTGTTACAAATTGGGAAGACTAAGAAGAGGGGCAGTGATAAACCTCAGAAATTGCAAGTCAGCCCTAGCATCTGAAACCACATGTTCAGGTTAAGCACTGCAATATCCATGTCCCCTATTCTGCAAGAGGGAGCAGTGCTGACTTACAAAGTAAATCCCTTCTCTCTCCACTTCATTTTGGTGGCTAAAGAGGACTTCCTGTGACACAATCAAAAGGTTATTTTATTGCATTGTAGTCTGTAGGTGAAGAACTGAAAACAGGCAATGTTTATTTCAATGTTTCTCCCATCCATCCCCAGAGAAACTCCTAACAGTTAAGAAATCATATGATTTTGAAAGCCTAGCTCCACATTCTTGGAAGCTGTAGCTGACAAAATCAGACACTCAACTTCTGTGATCAGGAAGTCTCTCTGCCTGTTGACAAAACAATTACTCCAGTCTCCAAATACATTGACACCATTCAACACAGAAAATTCTCTCCTCACCTCCATGTCCTGGTGGGTGATGAATTTAGACCTGCAGACCTGCAATTTAAACTAAAGAATTTTTCACTGTTGCCAAGTCAGCCTTTGCAATACAGCATTAAGGATATTCTTGTATGGGAGAAAGAAGGAAGGACAAAAGCCAAACAAGATCCTCCTTTCAACAAGAAACTCAAATTACATTAAGTAATCTAAAATGGGACTCACCAAAGTTTTGCACCTGAGTAATCCTCAACTGGTTCAGTACTATGCCTTCTAAAAGGGGTTATCACTGAGAAAATGACAAATTCACAGAGTCCATTGGGGAAAGGACTTGCTAACACTCAGGCCCAGCTTCCATCTCCCTATTTCTGCTCAAAGCCACCCTCTGTACATCACGGTGGCATATACCTGTGGTAAAATCTGTCTCAACCATTGTTTTTGTCTATGCAGAGCAGTCTCAACTCTGAGGAAGGCCTGGGCGTTGCTTCCCTAAGTGTTGTCTATGCTGCTCTTATCGTCTCATCCATGTTTCTCCCTCCAATTCTCATCAAGAAGCTGGGCTGCAAGTGGACCATTGCAGGCTCCATGTGCTGCTACATTGCCTTCTCCCTGGGGAACTTCTATGCTAGCTGGTACTACTATCCAATTTAGCTACTCGAATCCTCTCTATTGTGTCCGGGCTAGATAACAGTGAGGGTAGAGTTCTCTTTTGTTTCAACCCCTACGCTACCCCCCTTGCTATGGGTTTGAATATTAGGTGCAAAAGGCATTATCTAAATGAAGAGGGGTAAATAAATTCAGTAATGGATAGAGCAGAAGTAAAAAGATGCAAAAAGCCAGAATGAATACATCCATCCACCCACCTGAAGCTGCTTCTCTAGTTCCTATGTACTGCAGAGATTTCCCTTTGAGAAAAAAAATGTCAAAACAAAATCAGAGGTTTCTTATAAAATTCAAGTGACTATTTGGTCTGTTTTTGGAAGGATTGAAAAGAAATCTGGCTCTGTGAGTAGAGGAGATGTGTTCCTACCAAGCTGCTTTAAAAATGGATGAACAGTATACTCCTGCTCTCTAGTAACAGTGGATGCAACTCTACAGAGTAAAGGTGTTGTGATCCATCTTCTGAGAAGCAGATGCAATGTAATTCTCAATTACAAAGGGATTGAGCACTTGGGCACAAAGCCAGCTAGCCTAGACTTAGCCCCTAGATACAGCTGGGAGTGTTTTCAGATCCTAAGATTTGTAAGGTTGGCCCTTTCTTGATTTCACACAGTAGATTTGCTGAATCATACACAGGATAAATCTATTTCTTTG